TTTGTATTCGCAAAGTCTGGCTCTGTACCTGGCACATAGTACCTTGGCAGGTCTTAGGTCTTTTCAGTACTCACCATTTTGGCCTGAAGATCAAGCAGTTTTCTCACACGAAATGGTTTGACTAGAAAACATAAAGGAAAGAGGTAGTGTGAATTTGGGTTCAGAATAAAAAAAAAACTAGTTATATTTAACCATCATGCAATTCATACAGTTTTTTTCTTACAATGTATCAAAAAAATAAGCACACTGTTCAGTTAAGCCATTAAGCAGATGCTCTTAAAGTACTAAAAATCAATTTCCACAAAATGAATTTTGTCATATAACTAATGCTAATAGTGATTTTAACTTTAAAAAGGCCAATACAAAAGCAAACTCCACAAAGTGTAATATAACTGTAATGAAAATACTCACCATTCTCTTTTTTCGTAAGTAAATATAACAAATGGCAAACATAAGGGCACTGTTAAAACATAAAAAATTTAAGAGAAATGATAACATGTCTTGAACACAGAGGTAACACATTTTCCTCAAATGTCAATCTTATGCTGATTAAGTAAAAAACCTTCAGGACTTCACTGAACAATAGTTTTACAAAGCATCTCTTTTTCCTATTATATAGTGATTTTAAAAAACAATAGTTTTAATCAACATCCCATTAGGTCATTTTTTAGTTATTTTTGGAGTGTAAAGATATTGTAGACAATCTGAAAAACAGAATTACCTATCATCCTTCTACCTAACAAAAATTCATGCATTACTTTCAATATTTGTATGTATGTAGTTACTAAATTCATACAAATATTGAAAGAATTGCATGAATTTTTGTTATTTCTTTCAATATTTTTATGTACGTATGTATTGTTAGTTAGCAGAGACAAGGTCTCACTATGTTGCCCAGGCTAGTCTCTAACTCCTGGCCTCGAGTGATTCTCCTGACTCAGCCTCGTAAAGTGTGAGGATTACAGGCATGAGCCACTGAGCTTGGCTTATACTTATTAAGACATAAACTTGAAACTTTTATCCTGATTTCCTATTTAAAATCATTTTCCCATGTTGTTTAGTCTCAAAATTATCATTTTCAATGATGCTTCATATTCCAGTGAGTATATACACAAGAATTTAATTAACAGCTTGGTCTTCAGTTTGGCAAACAGCATGTACTCAATTTGCTAATTAAATTATTGAATGATTGATTCCCTTATACCATTTCATTTTCAGTGTCCACCTGATGAGGTCTTATGCTAGACCAGGGGTCAGGAAACTATGGTCTACCTGTTTTTGTAAATAAAGTTTTACTAGGACACAGGCACACTCATTCATTCACTTATTGTCTACAGCTGCTTGCACACCACACCAGCAGAGTTGAATAGCTGCAACAAAGACAATATTCTCAGGCCCAGAATATTTACTACCTGTCCCTTTTAGAAAAATTTGCCAACACCCTCTCTAAATAATAGGCAAGTGAAAAAATAAAGTATTTAATGGTACTAGAGAAAGCAACAAAAGCAAAGAATTTCTTTAAACAAATTTGTATTTTTGTAGTCATGACTCTAAACTTCAAGGTCTAAAGTACAGCATATTCCATATTGCTTCTTCTGTGCTTAAAAATGGTTTCCAAAAAAATAAGTAAATTTTAAAAAAAAGAGAGAGAGAAAAAAAGGCCAGGGGTGGTGGCTCACGCCACCACCAAGTAATCCAAGCACTTTGGAGGCCAAGGCGGGCGGATCATCTGAGGTCGGGAGTTCAAGACCAGCTTGACCAACATGATGAAACCCCGTCTTT